TACAGTACTTCTCTGCCTTTCTAATTCAAATTCTCCCTCCCCCCAGACCTAAATTCTTTTGGCTATAAATTAAACCCAGAACTTGCATCATTACTGTGGAAAACTTACTGCCCTATTTAAAGCATTCTTTCCCATATTTGAGATTCATTGACGTATCCTATGTTCACTCTTTCCTCCTAACTTTTGTTTTCAAACTTTCTCTCATTCTGATTTGGAGACGAGAAGAGGCCTGAAAGTTGACAAAGTTCCATAAAAATATGATGCCCTGAACTAGATGCTGTTTTTCACTGTTCTTATCAGTGACAAGTAAACCAGAAGAACTGTTTTGTTGGTTTTTTTTTTTTTTTTTCAATTTGCATTTGGCAAATGGAGAATGAAGTTTAGCCTTTTAAAAATAGCTTTGTGTTACAGAGTCCTGCTCACTATGTGATTCATGATAATCCTCAGCTCCTTTTCTGCAGTAGTACTAAAGGGATTTTTCTTTACTTGTTATTTGTGCATTTGACTTCTCTATTTGTAGAGCACTACATTGTAACATTTATTGGACTTGATCTTTTTTGATCACTGTTCTGATTGATCAAGGTCATTTTGCATTTTTAAGCTTTTCTACAAAGAATAAAAATGGACAGCTGCCTCGTTCCTGCTGACAGGAAAAGGCAATTCATCAGTGCAGTTTTGGAGCCACAGGCTGGCCTGACTTCAGATCATTCTGTGCCTAAGATTTTGGACTGAGCTGAGGTGGTAGTTTGCCTTTAGATAGGCTCTCTGGCTTAGAAATGCTTAGAGCTTGCTTAAAAACGTGATGCGTGACACTAAGCAGTAGTTAGCCAGTATGAACATCTTCAGTATTGCTCAGTCTATGTAAGTGAAGAAGGAAGGAAAGATCTTTCTCCTGAAATGTTATATGGCTTGGTCAGGCATGACACCTGTTGTTTGGGGCTCTTTCACAAGATGGCAACGGCACAGTTTGGAATCAGAAGTTTTTTGGTCACAGTTTCTTGATAAGTGTTTCTGCTGAGATCTCTGAATTCCTGGATGCCTATGAAGCTTTGTGATCACCTGCCTTCTTGCTGTGTATGAATATCCTAAATGGGTAGGTTTGGGAAGACACAGGCTTCGCAGTGACATCGCAGTGAAATACAAGTGTAGTTCTTCAATGTTTTATGCTCTCTCTTTCTGACCCTGCTTAGTAATAGTCTGATGTGATACAGGGTCACAGCCTGTTTGGAAATAAACTTCTTGTGTCACTCTTTCGATTCCTTGCACAGTTCTAGCCAGTCTGAACTGAGACAAGATCATTAGTCTGCCTTGATTTATACTTCCTTTAAACGGTATAGTGTCTCAGCAGTCCTGAGGTGCTCCACCCTGAGTATGGCTGCTTTCCTGAAGCATACTGTCCCACATTCAGTGGAAAGGTTACAGGTCAGTCAAGAATGTTAGCGGGATGGAAGCCTTCGTAACACCAGCTCTCCAGACATCTATCATCAAAAAACAAGAGAACCATAGGGGTTTTTTTTTGAACTGAAGATGATGATTTTTTAAATTCATAACTTACTTAGGAAAAATCAATAAGTTGTGAGCTGGGTTCAGTTTAAAAGAAGCTGTGGAGAAATGGTTGCAGGAAAAGAACATTCACATAGAGTATTCTGCTGAGACACAGCTGTAGCAAAACACAGCAGAGTGTTTTTAAAAAAAAAAAAAAAAGCCGTAACTATCCTAAAGATATGTAGGGTAAAATCATACTGTTTCAGAGGTTAAAAATTATAAGGTAACCACCCTGAGTTAGTGACACTGTATAGCTTGCATACTTTGGAGAGTATTTCAGCTATTGTTAACAGTGGTACTTTAAAATGCTTGGAACAAAGGATATCAGGAATTAGTGATTAGTATCATCAACAGGGCAGCGCTGCAAAAGAGACTTCACCTTTTTAGGTAGATTTTCAGTTATGAATGTATTTTATTTCCAAATACATTACATTGCCTTTATAATAAGGAAGAAGTAGTATGCAAGGAAAATGAGGCAGCCTTAAAGTGGACAGGTGAGTTGAAGGCTGGTAGTCTTGTCTTGCAGAGGCCATGCGTGAACCCCTGGCTCTAATTAAAGAATGTTACCACTGAATTCAGTGTCGCTGCTGTTAGCACACAGCAGACTGAATCCCTCCTAGTGGTTGTACTGGAGCAACCCCATCAGCTTGTTCCATTAGATAATTGAAAGCAGAATGCACCCAAAGAAATACAAATAATTCAGTGTTATACTGGATTAATTTTAGCGAGCTAATAAACAAGGCATGCACTTCCAGAGTTTTTTCATCCTGTTTTTGCAATAGTCTTTAATTGTCTCATCTGAATATAATATAAGCAGTCAGGAACATTAGATATAAAATGGCATTACCACATTTTTCTCTCTTTGTTGTTAATCTATGAGGTAAGCCACAATGATTATTAGCAGCCTCCTCTACACTGCAGAGTGGCTTCAGCAATTCTGCAAATTGGCTAGATTTGAAGCTGTTAATTATGCAGTATAGTGCACTCCATAAAGGCAGAAATGAGCGTGACTTGGCTCAGTTCTCATGAGAATAAATTGTATAAGTTGGACCTCTGTTTTGTTTGAATTCTGGCTTCACAGAGGGCACAGGCATTCCATACAGCAGGCTTGGCGAGGACAAATCATTTACTCCATTAAAAAATCAGAATACTTTCATCGCAGAATCGCATACCTGGCAGAAAGCCCATGGCTCCTGGGACTCTGCAGAGGTCCGAGGCTCGTTAACAGGGGGTGCTTTTCATCATTTTGCCTAAGAAACTGACAGGCATCTTAAATCCAAATATCTTGTAAATCATAAGGAGGGGAGATTTTCTTTCTTCCCTGCATTCACCGACCACGCTTGTAAGTGTTCAAAATGCCCACCAGCATTTTAAAGTTACTGTCTGCCTGCTGTCAAAGCAAAAGGCATGGTCTCCAACACAAGCTGCTCATCTAACATCAAGGCAAATAATAAGTGAGGGCGATGGGAGGGTTATCTTTTAGGTTAGGCTCCCTCCTAAGGTTTTTATATAAATGTAGACGTTGCATAACAAATTATGATAAGATACTTTTGCCTTAGGTTTCCACCTACACATCAAGGAATTTACAGGATGCTACTACTTCTGAAGCAAATCTGTACATATTTATATCATTTTCTCTTAAAGTGTGAAAGCAGATAAGAAAATACTAGAAGAAAAAAACAGCTCCGTAAATTGGAATGATTTTTAAGTCTTCTATAAATATATTCAGTTAAGGAGATATTATGTTAAATATATGACTGTACCTCTGTAGCTGTTGCAAGACTGTAGCAGTGTAACTGATACTAGTTGAAAGATCCTGAAAGCAGTATTAACTGTCTAGTGTGTCACAGTGATGCAAAGTAAAATGTCATTTTTGCAGTTTCTTCTAATAGTTTAAGTGAGCTATTTAAAAAAGAGTAGTAAGTTTGGACTTTAACTGTTATTTTTTTAAACGGACAGTGAAAGAAAATTACTACCTCAACCAAGGCCCTAATTACTACAACAAAGAGGACTTTACACTTCAAGCGTACTAAAATGACCAGTGTTAAATTCCTATAACTACTTTTGCAATAAATGAATTATGTGGTTTAATTCATTGGGTTTTTTTGAAAAGCAATACTTGAGGAAAAAACAGTGTGATTCAGGATAATGCATATAATTAAGTTTCCTATCAGCAAGATGTATTAAAATGGAAAAAATTAACTAGCAAAGCCATCTAGTGCATGGGACTATTAAATTCACAGTTTGCTGTTGCAAATTTCTTAGTAGGCTTTAGTTGTTTGAGAAAGCTCATAGAAACTCATTTTGCAAAACCAATTATTAGATGAAATGCCTCCTGTCATTGCCACTGGAGGAATAGCTCTGAATCAGGACTGTGTCAAAAATGGAGTTAGCTGAGTGATCTCAGTTAAATACCATTTACCTAGCAGGATTATGAAGATGATGCCCACATAGTGAATAGGTTCTGCTCAGACAAATGTAGTCCCCTGGAGATAATGGAAATTCCCTGCAGGACTGTTCGCTTTCTTTGGTCGCTGTGAAGAGCTTGGACTCTATAGCAAAGTCAGTCCTCACGCTTCTATCAGGATTATGCTACTTTTATGATTTGACAAAGTTCAGTCTAGTGACAGATGCAATTATAAAACTGTTTAGACTTGTTGGTTCTGGAAGACATTGTGCCTTAACTTATGATTCTTAAGCAGGTGTATTTTGTACACTTTGATGAAATACGTGTTACCTAGTATAGCACAGTAGTTAGAGATAATACAGAACTCTGAATCCTTTCATGTATCCTACAAAGAATATTGTGCTTGTTGTCAATGTTTCATGAGCAAACACAGGAACCAGCCTGTATAGTTGATTCTGAAGGATCCTTCCCATTTTTTTTTTCTTTTGATTCATACTTGTTCATATCCATACTTGTGAGAAAATTTTCAGAGCAAAAATTGTTTCCATTTTTCAGATGCAATCAGTGAAGCATATACCAGTACGAGTCAAAGACAAATGGTAATATTAAGAACAGTTCTGTTATCAGCTGTTTAAACCAAGAACTGGTTGTTAAAAGGCAGTCTCAGAATGAAAGCAATTAATTTACTGTCAGTGTTAACATTTTCAAAACGAAATGTTCCCCAGTGTAAATTTCTGTTTCACCACCATGTTCTCAGAGCACTGTGAGAACCAAGAATATTTTTCTGTGGCAAGTCTTTATGGATGTTAAATGGCACTGTGAAGTACAGAGAACTATTGCTCTCAGAGCACCAGACATTTTTTAGAGGCATTTATTGGAAAGAATTTATGTTGGAATGTAAGAAATGGTTTTGCTTTTTCAGCCAGCAATGTATATGTAGTACTTCATGTGGAACACAACAGAATTTAAAAATATTTTTCCTTTTAAAATGTGTCATGGGTTAGTATTTGTCTTGTATATATAATAAAATAAATATTCATTCTTTTAGGGTGAAAAAGGAGATAGAGGAGAACCAGGACCAGAAGGCATTCATGGAAGAGAGGTAAACTGAATGACAATGAAACAGTCAAATTACAAACTTTTGGCAGGATGGTTAAGCAATGAGATTCAGATTTTATGTAAAGAAAGTGATGGATTTAGAAAATGTGTGTGCCTGGAGAGTTAACATCCACAAGATGATGGGGAGAGAAAAAAAAGATTCATTGAGGTGAGGTATGAGTTCTTAGGCCTTCAGGTTAGTCAGGAGAGCTGTGGGTAAGGATGTGGTAGGTTCTATGACATTTCTGCTGAGGGCTCATGCGATAAACTGAAACATGCATGGGGATTAAAGCAACACAGTGTAGATGAGATACATTCCTGTTTGGATAATCTGCTGGAAAAGAGAGTATTTCTGGAGGCAGGATAAAGCCAGGCCTGGAGACTTAGTTTCTGAAAAGGAAAATACACAATCTGTTAGCCATTTTTGGGTGAGAGTCATGCATCACTTGCACGGCTTGTGTGATAGAGAATTTGAGTTAAAATTTCACTTTTTTTCTCTGCCAGATTTCACTGCCTACTTAGTTAATTGATCTGGTCCATATTTGAGGTGGAGCATGAATCTGTGTCTAAAAATACTGGATAATCCTGATCATTGCATTCACATTCAAACTTGAACCTGAGCTAACACTATGGACACACCCAGTAATAAACCTTATTTTTGCCTAATTTATTTTTAAATTTAAATTTATTTTTATCTATATTAAACCAAGATGAGAGGGCAGAAAATCGGAATTTTTTTCAATGGAATACTAAAATGGCCAACCAGCATGATTTGAACAGCAAGATTTAAAAAAAAAAAAAAAGTGCAAAAATCAAGCCAGCAGTTTTATTTATCCCCCTCTTCCACTCCTGTTTCCTCCTTGACCTAGCTGAGGGTCAACCTGGGTTCAGGTTTTAATGCAGGATACTGTTGGCTCTCCAATTGCAAAGCATCGCAGCTGAAGATAGAGAGCATCTCACAGAGGGATCTGAATCTGACTGTTCAAATTCTGTGGGGAATGACTGGCATTAGGGCTGGAATCCAGATACAGGATTTGGAAAAACCATACAGCAAAGCTTTTTTAAGCAACTTTACCAAAAGAGTAAAGGGTCAGTATTTGACACAAAAATGCTATGATAGTCTAGCTGGGTCTACTGAAATTGCAGTGAAATGGACTACATAATTATGACACTTTTCGTGTCATCTGGCTTTCTATGCACACTGTAACCATAAAAATATTTTTCCGGTTTTAGGTTATTATAATTTAATGCTAGATAAATCAGGCTATTTTTGACTAATAGTGGATGTGCATAATATGAAAACATTTAACATGAACTGAACTGAAACTATGTTTAGGTATTCCAAGAGGTATTCTCTTGTAGCCTGCCTATCTGTAAAGGTGAACCGTATACTTCTGTCATGCATACATATATGCTGACAGCATGGAAAAAACACATCTGTGTTTCTTTCCATAGCCCTGGGGACATTTCTGTGTTGGTCTTACACGATCTCCTGTACTACATGGGATCTTGTTCCATAAACCTTTTAGGAATAGTAAGGTATACCAAGTATCTGGTGAACTCTAGAACATATTTGACATAGTGGCACTATGAAAGTGTAAAATATCAAACCTTTATATTTTGAAATATTTACTGAACTGTTGTAGTATTTCAAGAAATCATAGATTATCATCATGGGAACTGTCATTAAAACATATTGGAAGTAAAATTGCACAAGGCAATATAACATTATATTGTTTGAATCCATATGTAATTCTTTTTTAACAACACTTACATAAAATGCTTTGGATTCAGTTATCACTGTGCATGGAGATACCAGTCATGAAGTTTATATTTAAAAGACTTTGTATCATTGACTCTTGGTTGCTATCAGTGTCTCTCAAACTCATTCCACATACAGAAATGTAACATCTGATATTTCTGAAATAATCAAGTTAATCTGCAGTGCTGTATAAAGAAAGCCTGAAAACACTTAAAGCTAACAGTATCGGCTGCTGACAGCTGTTGTCTCTGCCTGGGGGAGTGAAGGTTTCCATACTCACAAGTGAAGAACTTGAAAATGATGACTGAACATTTTATCTTGCACAAATGATAGAAACATATTTGAATTTATTTAATCAAAATCATGAAAGTAGGTGTCACACAACAGTTTTGCTTGCTGTTTCCTTAGCTATACAGAAAGTTCTTGCTAGAATGACAGAGGGGAAGCCAGACCTGATTTGGAGACTAGGCTTTGTCTGATGATGAAAAGATACCGAAAAAGTTGAATTCCCTTATCCGTCACTGTTTGTGCTATACTGAGTCAGTTAATCTCATTGAGAACCAGGTTTGGATGCAGGAACTGTGAATATATTTAACTGCTCTGCACATCTCCCAGCTTACCACTCCAGGAATCTGAGCCAAGATCTACAATGCCGTGTCCCAGACTGGGACATTATTCAAAATCCATCTGACAACTTGAATACTTGCTATAAATACTAGTGATGTGGTTGCCATTGTTTTTAGCTTCTTAAGGAGTAGTTATAAATAACATAATATATTACTAATGTCCTCCCATGGTATGTGTTCGCATTACATCTGTAAGCAGGTTTTGCCTGTATAATATGAACAGCCAGTTTGCTAGAGTAGTATCACTGGTTTATCCCTTGAGACTTTTTTAGCCACTTGACATTAATAATGCTATCATTTGTATCACTGTAACAAGTGGAGCTTCGTAGACACACTGTCTGAAAGAAATACTGATAAATACATTTTTTTCTCCATCATGCTCATATCCCCAGTGGAATAAGGACAAATTTGCAATATAAATATCCATGGAAGTATCTGTGGAATAATATCTATGTTATATTCATACTCCTGTCAGTTGAATTGAAGTGGAAAGAAAATCTTTGTCATTGAAACTTTTAGACTCTTCTTGGAGTCATGTCATTTTCTTGATCAGTGGTGCAGGTAGGATGTGAATACCATGGGATAATACCAATTAATGTTTTGCTGACATAAATTAAATCCTTCAGCAAAAGTAAGTGAATACTGAAAGTTTTATTATATCTATCAGCCTCTGTTGTGCATAGCTAGGGAAAGAAAAGAGTCTTTCTTGTAAAAAAAATCTGAAATTAAAATCAAGTATATAATCTCTAAAGCATTAAACCAAGTGATTAACTAATTATTTTTTTCTTCTGCTGGGGAAGGTGATACCCTAAGTGACTTTTTTTAAAACTTTCCTACATAAAATAGTGTTATCCTTTACATACCTGATGTCAAAAGATAGACCTCTGATAGACTCTGAAGTTCAGTGAGCAATGAGAAAAATCCCATGTTTTCAATGAAAAGACAGAAAACATATCAGACCTTTTTATGCTTGTGGGAAAAGGTGAATGTAAGTATAAACATTTTTAAGGGGATCCAATGTCTTTATATGATGGTGACAGTCATTTACGTTCACACCCTGACAGCCTGTCTCTAATCTTGAACTCTCTTAGTATTAACATTGTAAGGAATTAATTGGATTGGAAGGGAAGTATCCTACTGCTTGAAAGTATGAAGTTGATAATGATATTTAATTATATCTAGAGTTTGAGGATTCTGCTAGGAACAAAAGTATAAGGAGATAGTAGACATTGCTGATGATCCAGAAAATTCTAATAGTATAAAAATGTGAAGTTTTTGAATGTCATTAATGAGAAAAGAGCAATGGCAATATTTAAAAGTACATGTGATATAAATTGAAAAATGTATCGTTTGGAGCATTGAAAATAATTTTCTAAATTAAAAAAGTTATCTGAACATATACAGCTTGGTGTTGTACAGCTGACTGAAGCTGTTGTTTTAATTTAGATTTTAAGGCTGCTCTTAAAATGTCTCTTATGTGGAGAAAGCATAGTTCTGTTGTCTTATTCATTGGAGTATGTCCAAATTTTATCACTTGGTAGAGGTTGTTGATTGGATATGTAACAACTTGGTTGCACATTGTTGATTAGTATGTTGGATTGTTTACTGTATTTTCAGTATTTTAGATAATGCGTGTTGTTCTAGGAGATTCTTTTCCTGAGATTGAACCAGATTAATGCAGGCCAGGGAAGTGTAAATAATGAATGATGTTTTTCTGAACTGATATCTTTCAGAGTGAAAAACCTGTTCTCCTCTAAAAATTACGCCAATCTTACAACATTTTCCATTGTTACGTGCGTGCAGCATAGTGTATGCTGCAGAAATAGATGCATTTCCAGTGGGCAGTGCTCGGCTACTGCAGGAGCTGGTGAAGTCCCCTGGTTGGGGTCCAGCTGATTTTTGCATTTTTCCATTAGGAATAGCACCTGTCATCAGCTGCTGGTACATTTTACCTGTTTCATCCCTTTTCTGTGATGATGTGTAAGCAATGTCTGCTGCTCTCTCAGAGAAAATTCTCAGTGTCTGATACAGTTTTCTCAGGCCTTGGTGAGCCTGCTAGAGCATGTCAAGTCAGAATTCTAAGTAAAGTGTTAGGGCCCAAAAAGCATGTTTTACTTGGAGGGAACGCTTAACATAACAGCTTTCCTAATGTTCCTGAACTGTAGAAAGAGTTTTCTTATTGATAATTGCATGCAAAGCTAACAATTCAGTTATTTTGGTGCTCTTTTTCAGACTACTCTGATCAAATTAATGTCTGTTGTTATGGTAAACATTTTGTCTCAGGGTGAGAGGTTAATATACTTCTCAAATATTTCCCAGCTGTGGATAAGTAACTAGTGGCAGCTGAGAAAAGGCTGTGGTCCCTGTCTTCTAATGCTACTGATGAGGTTTGTGTTGTGGCTGATACCTATTTCTTCATCTCAGTAGTTTGTCTTCAATGAGCTGGCTCTTTGTGCCCTTGGTCCCTCTGGTCTCCAGTCCATGGGGAAACCCTTCAGTCCAGTCACCTGCTGCCAGGCAGCGTAAGCCTTAGAAACCCTGACAGCTCTGTTAGAGCTTCTCAGTTAGCTTCCTCTCCTTAGCCTAGCTTTCTTGAGGCTTCTGTGTTTGCTCTGAGATCACGCACTGTCAGTTTACTGCTGAAAGTTTTCCTCAAATTTCCCTGGCCTGCCATTCAAATACCCCTGCTTGAGCTGCAGGGATTGCCAGCTAGTCAGTCTCAGCTGGAGAGGTGTCTGCTCATTTAAACCCTTACACATCCCCTGTGTTGCTTTTAAGCCCTGCAGAGTATCAGTGTCAGGCTTAAAAGCAAGTATGAAAGAAAATCTGATTTACAGAAAGAAGCGGACTCCTTTAAATTACAGGATGCTTTCCCCATCCTGTACAACACCAACACACTTTTCCCTTTTAATATAAACCCTGTAGGTTATATGGGAGTACAGACAGAAGGTGTGTACTTGTTTCGAGTTGTTGCTATTGTTTGATGGGCAGTATAGATGATACTCCTAGGGGCTCGGATTCCTTCACAGGGTAGTTCCTGAGACACTACAGGCATACGAGATGTGATTTCCCAGCACGTGCAGCAAGCTGTGAATCCTCTGTTCTATTCATCTCCTGTCTTTTTTGCTAGTGATAGTAGTAGTACCGTTTTGCAGATCATCATGTTGACCCAAAATAATTGGCTTATGGGAAAATGTTGTTTGGTTCCCTTTTCTCATGAAGTCTTTGACTGTTCTGATTTTATTCAAATGACTGAAAAGCTAGGAAGTGAAAAGCTGTTTAATTTTCTGGTTCTGGTTATACCTGGCAATTCTTTTGAATTAATAAAATGTTCTCAGACTTGGTAAGGAACATGTTTGTCACATCACTAAGTAAGGTTATTTTTTCTTCACCTTGGATCTCCAGAGCACAGCAAACATTGTGTGAGATTGTTGCTGGTTTACAAGGACAATTCAAGTAGAAAAACTGTCGCTTTTTATGCCAGTAGTGTTGGGACACCATTAATAAAATCCCATCCTTTAAAGAATTTGTGAAACCATGGTCCTTTTTAGAGCTATAAAGCAGTTACTGGGTTTTAATTGTTTTCTTCTCCTAATCCAGTTGGTTCTGTAGGCTAAGACTCCAGTAAACTAATATCACAGAAAAGTTTGGTTAAATATTTGTCAAAAATAATGTCAACCAATATGGTAACTTCTCCTTTAAATTCCTTCTACCACTGTCAACCCCTTCCAAGCAAAAAGCCTGCCTCTAGTTTAATCTTTCCCCTGTTGGCCCCAATCTTGCTGACTTCACACATTTACTGATATTTGTGATATACTTGTTCCAGTAATTTCTCTGTTGGTCAGCAACTGTGTTACAGTAATACCTGTCATTATATATATATATAGCATTTCTCATTTCTGCCATTTCTCATGTTGTTATCTTGTTAGCCTTGAGTTGGCCTTATACATGCATATGCTAATGTTTACTTTACATTTTGGCATCCATAGAGGAACCATAATGTAAGTTTATTCTGACCTGTAAAAAGACCAAGCTGTAGTCCTTACAAAGAAGAAAAAGTACCATGTAAAGACTGTTCATAAACTTGCAAATGTGTATTATTATAGTGCTCTCAAAAAGTTAGAATTAGATTGGGATATAATTCAGTAATTCATTTACCCTCTATTATGAGAGCTGCTGGAATTTTTACTCAGTTCTTGAATTTGTGGCAAATCTGGTAACAGACTCCTTAGATCGATAGAAATTATTTTGCTGTTTTCAAAACTGACCTCATTCTCCTACAATATTGCCAAAAATGAGCTTTTCTAATTTAAAGCTTATTCTAAAATCACCCACATTATATCTGTTTCGATAACCACATCCATTTTACTGAAGCATCCTGTTCTGGTCTCTGCCAGAGACAGGATACTGTACTGTACTGCACTAAAAGGGGCTACAGATTTGACTTAGCACAGGAATTTTTACTTATGTCATTTCAGAGAGTCAGCAGCAGCTAAACCTCTCAGCAGCTTTAAAAGGGTGACTGTAGGGAAGAATAGGCATTATGCAGTACCAGATGTGTTTTTTAAAGCATTCACTATGTCTGGAACTTACTAAGAAGTTAATATTTTTAAAAGATATATACTGTGTAGAAGAACAAGAAATACTTCTAATGGGATAACCTTTTAAGCTTTTTTTTTTATTATTATTTTCTGATACTACTTTTCTTTCTTGGGGTCTTAAACTGCAAAGGAAAGCTATTGTAAATATTTTAAAATAAATACCTTATTTAAAAACCTTCCTGGATACTTAAGAATCCTGCTTCAAACACTGTAGGGTTTGTTGTCAAATACGTAGTTTCCCCTTCTCCTTTTTATGTGAAGTTGACTTCTGTGGTTGTCATCTCTGCAGTAGCTGTCGAACTGCCTACCTCACTGAGGTGCACTGCAGGAACACTAGTAAAAGCTTTAAACACACCAGTTAGGAAAACACGGGGTTCGTTGTTTGACGCTGCATGGCTCAGGTTCAGTATCTTTCAGCTGCGGTTCTTTTCTGTTTGGTAGAGGCACACAGATATATCACCATGTGCAGGTTGCAGGGGGGTTTTTTTAACCTTATCCTTTATTTTCTGTAAATATACAGCCTAAGAGCTAATTCTTAAACTCAAACCTATTGTTCCACTGCTAATTTGCTAATGCTGATTTTGAACCAAATCCATACCGTTTGCATACCTGAAAAATCGCTAAAATGGCTATTTAGAATATGGAGTGGTTGTGGTTTATGCAGTCTTTCGGAAGGAGGCGAAAAGTAAAATGTAGTAAATGGAGACAATATTAAAACTATGTCATAAATATGCAGATTGTAAAAAGAAAGCAGTTTTTTGGCTTGGTTTTTGAATCCATCTGTCTATTACATTTTTTAAGTTCAAATAGCAAAACTACTTCTGATTTAACTATTACATATTTGGCAAGCTTAATAAAGGACAAATCAAAGCTAAATCAGGGGTATTTACAACAACCACAAATTTAATCCAAAGTGGGTACTTAAATGCTTATATAGTTCTAAATGATGTTCCTTCCAGATGGTGAATTAATGTAATTTTAGCAGGAAGTGAAGTTGCACAAATATGCAGTATTTAGAACACTCACTGATTTAATGTTTCTGTACCCACCAAGGCACAGATGTTACTTATCATTTTTGTGCCAGTTGTCTCTATCTTTCCAATTATTGAAAACTGAGGAAAAGAGTTTGCAAGGGCAAAATGGGGGCTGGGAAGAATTTAAGTTAGTAAACCCTAATCCAGATGAGTTAGGGTAGACGAATCCTTTCTGTCCTCAACCTATTTAACCTCCACTGTAATAACAGTGGTGGCCTACTTGTGTACTGTCATATTGAGTTGGTCCTGTATTGCCTACATTATTGACATTTGGTTCCTAAGTAAGATCTTTGAACCTGTAGAGCTGTCTCTGACTTACAATGTACATGCCCTCCAGTCACATGCTTCTAAAGCAATGATCAGAGGGAAGACACAAAACAAATCACTTGGCTTAAACAAAAAGCAGTTCCTGGTAGGTTGATCCAGCATCAGAATAAAGTTCATTCCTTGCTACAGTGTGGCTTGAATCTTCTGGGTTTATCTCAAAACCTATTGTTTTTCCACTTGTTTTGCAGCAAGGAGAAGACAACAAAGATTATCTGCTGGGTGCTAAAGATTTTTTTTTGGGTGCTTCTGATGAGACATGTTAGTGGAAGAGCTGTATTGTAGCTATTGTAGAGGATAGGTTCAGACTAGTTACAAGGAAATTTTAATGATGAGAATGGTGAAAGACTGGAACAGTTTGCCCAGAAAGGTTGTGGATGCCCCATCCCTGGAAACATTCGAGGCCAGGTTGGATGGAGCTCTGAGCACCATAATCTAGTTGAAGATGTCCCTGATTATTTCAGGGGGATTGGACAAGATGACCTTTAAAGGTTCCTTTCAACCCAACCCTTTCTATGATTCTGCGGATTGTGAAGTTGCTGCATATGAAATGTGTAAGGCTAGGCACTATTATCTGCTTCTCCAGCTGAAGGCAGAACTAAGGAGTGAGGTATGAAGAACTTGATTATTTCTCTAATTGGCTTTTCAAACACTGGTGAAAATCAGAGTGTTGGAGGATGTGCAGCAGCTCTGAGGTGTACCCTGTTGTAGCTCACCAGCTCAGCATTGCTATCTGAAGCATAGAACCCACAGTTCTCTGTCCACCTCTGCCTCTTTCCCTATTTCAGCAGAGGTTAAGTGAATGTACTAGTACTTTCTCTAGTATTATATTTTAGCTTTGTCAGCCATGAAAGACACAAACCTACTGGGATTGCAAAGCAACTTTGCATTTCTACATGCTAGTTATCATAATGTGGCACCATCAAGTAGATAGTTTGGCTTTGTATGTTTAATTATCTGTTGAAGACACAGGCAGTCTTTGATAGATGTTGCTCTGTTCACAAAATAATGAAAATAAAGAATTAGGAGATAGTAGTGCTAATAATGTGTTAGTATTTTAAGGCTTAGTTGGTTAGTATATACTAATTCACAGCACTACAGGATTTTGTCCAACATTTTCCACAGATGACACTAAATACACATTTTTCTTCTTTGCCCAGGGACTAAAAGGTGACAGTGGTGCTCCCGGTGTGGCTGGTCCTAAAGGAGAAAAGGTACTTTTGTGTCTGTAAAGTTGTATGTATATGTGAGTGTGCATGACATTTCTTTGATATTGAACACGTTGCCTTAACTACGTGTGATGAACACCCATTGCTGCCATTTGTGTAGCTTAAAGGTTGGAGAATATGAATACAGACTAACTGTAAATATGGAAGACAAGTACTCTTTATCACAGCAAATTTTGAAAGGAATTCAGAGCAGGAGCCTAAATTTGATGTTCTGAATTGCTCTCTGGGTGCTTTGATTTTCTTCCATGGACTGAACCTGAAGGTCTCTCAGTGCAATTTGTACCTTGACGACCTAATTCTGTGAACGTTTTACACAGTCAGATGTCTTTACATATGTGAGCTGTCACACTGACTTCAGTGGCCACCTTGTGCATGTAAGCTGCAGCTTGTAATTTCACATATGCAAATGAGTTTTGAAGGATTGCTTTTTTTAAGCTGTGATTGATTTATGCAGAAGCCTGTAATTTTTTTCCATTTAACCTGTGGTGAACTGTATAGATCTACAGCATTACTGAAAAATAATATTGCTGTACTCGTATATTTTTGTAATCAGAGCACGTTTGATGATTATACTGGATATACTTCTGCAGTGGTGCATATCCTCTAAAAAGCCTAGAGGTTAAACATGTATAAGTAAAGAGATTACTGATTTATTTACTCTTCTGTTTAAACTAGGGAGATACAGGACCTCCGGGACCAACTGCATTGAGCGTAAGTACATGTAAAACAAAGACAGACAAAAGAAGATGACTAAGAAATGTAGCAGGTTTTAGCTTATTTACAATGTAAATACTTTCCTTATTAAATTTAAGAGACAGATCCCTCTCTTTAGAATGCCTCTGCATTTTTTATATGAATTGTGAAGTAGGGAAAGAGGAATTTTATAAATACAAAGAAAATAAGCATATTTAAAACATCTTGTTTCCCACCAAATGCTAACAAGAATATTGGGGTTTTATTCTGTATATAAATAGTACAGGCTGGTTGAAGTGAAAGAATTTCATTGCCGTTTTTAATGAAAAACATTTTTCACTAAAAGCTTGGAAAACTAATTAATGTTTTTTAAGATACTGTAAATATTCCATTGTCACATTATTTTATTAAGTACTTAGTTATGAGTGCAATGCCGTATGTATGACATGGTTTTATATATATAGCGTACATATGTTCACATCTGACATACCAGACCCTGTTTTCAGAAAGTTAAGGATGTGGGGACACATCCAGCAGCCAGATAGTTGTGAGGCTGCCACAGCTCCTTGCCCTCAGCTCCAGCTGGTAGTGGGGCCGAGCACGCATTCCCAAAGGGCTCCCAAACACACATAAAACACATGTAGACAGGTCTGGCCATAGAGGTCAACACAGATGGACATACTCAGCACTCACACAAACGCAAACAGCACCAACAGCCTCATCTGTTACCCTCCTTGGCTGATCATTATGATGGTCTGGTACTGGGAAAGGTATACATCTATACAATGCACATCCCTCTAGTAGGTGAGCTGACACACAGCCTAACCAGTAGATGCCCCTGGTCCTGGTCTCTCCAGTTACTGGCACCTGGATGTTCAAACCCCCCTGAGGCTCACAGCTCCACTCCAGTTGCTGGTGCAGACCTGCTCACCCACAGACATCATGCATGTACACACACACACACACACACACGTATTCACACACACACATTCCCCTGGCTTCCAGGTCATTTACCTACTTGCCAGACAGTCCAGCTTGATATTTGCTGTTGATCCCACATTCACATACATGAGCTCACTCCATTTGCTGGTACCACAAAGGCACAGTGTTTTATGAAACATGTCATATGCTCCTAGTTCCTTGCATTGCACAATAATGCTGCTACTGATAATAAAAATAATCAAAATAATTTCAGTATTGGCTTCATTACAGTCCATTTAAATTTGAGTGATTGGAGATGTCTAATAATATTTGAGAATAACATATGACTCAGTATGAAGCATTCTCTATCCAGAAAAAGAGGTTACGAAATTCTGTTCACACAAAATAGAAAATCATTTAGAGTTTGTCCTTTCAAACACTTGCACACTTATGTGTCATGGTCTTGACATCTATGCAGTCTTTTTATCTTACATAATGACCAGACATGCATAACAAACACAGACTGTAAATGAAAAAGAAATGTAATGTTATAATGATGGAAAATCACTTACAAGATTTTTATGAAGAACAATATTTCACTAATTTAGGCTTTTTACAGTTTCTACAATTCTCAGAGGAAAAAAAGCAGATAGATATCTTCCTTTCTTTCTTTCTTTACAGAAAAAGTCTGTGTATCAGACTCAAGAAGTTGCAGATTAGTTCACTAATTCATTTATTCCCTTTCCTGTAATTTACCTGCAAAAAAGAATATGTGATGTCAGACATGATGATATTTCAAGTATCAAGGAAAGACATCTTGACTATGGATCTAACAGTTTCTTTGTAAGGATATGGCACGTGCCTGTGCACCAGAAAATAGAATTGACCTGCGTATTAGTTGTATTCTGGCTAGATAGAGATGGTTGAAGATGTTTTTAATTTCTTTTCAATGATCTGTGCCCCAAGCATGTATGAAGCATAAAGAGAAGTGTCCCCAGTTGCTTCATTAATGTGATACATTCTGTCTGAATCCAAGTGATTTTCTTAGAAATTGAAATGAGAAGGCCTCCCATAAAGGACAGTCCATTTGAGTAAAAACTTCTGAGAGTGGTGCAAAAGAGCATGATAAAAGTGAAAACAAGGACAAAAGCTCCCAAATTCCCATGCTATAGTTCCACATCATGAATAGCTCTTCCCCCAGACTCAGTGTTATGAATTACTTCTACACTATTCATATTAGTCATGTAATCCTAAATCAGCTTCATAAGAACTATCATTCATAGTGTAAATGATCATACATTGTCTTTTCACTCTCTTCATTCCCAAGGCCATAGGAGCAAGGATCTCCATTAGATCTGACAAACAGTGAAGAATGTAACCAGAGACCCATACTGTGAAAATTAATTCTGTTCTAAGGTTTCAAAATTAAGTTGCCATGTTTTATGGTACTTGGTTTTAGATTAGAAAATCTAAATATCTGGTATCTTGATTTCCTGGAGATAAATTAGTACTGTGTCCCAAGATCAGTGTCTGTTTGCTACAGTTCATGTCTTGCTAGAGGTAAACAGGGCCAACTATGTCCTTCAACTCTTGAATATACAGACAAAATGTGTGTTGAAAGAGTTAACAGTGAAATATTTTTAGTAAACAACCTTGATTCTAGGATTGTCATGGCAATAGATAGATTGAAGTGGATCTTGCTTCAGGTAGATTCTTGCAGGTCATGAAGGGATCATTGAAATAGAAATAGGATACTTCTGAAGCTAAGACACAGGAAAAAGAATTGAGGATGTCTATTTTCTGTGCACCGTAGGACCACAGAATGGTCTTTTTGAGCATTTCTTGTGTAAATGATGGAAAAATTGATACATCTATGCTGATAACAGTGCCTGAAAATGTTGGGGCCCATTTCAAATGCATTCATTGTCTTCAGTTGCAGTTGTGAACGCAGCTTTCCTAAGGGTCATACTCAAAGGTTAGTAGTATGATAGTGAAAATCAAAATCTGCTTTCAAATTGACTAAACTTATTCCTTCTGTACCTTAAGTGATTCATAAAATGGACTGTCAAAGAATTACATTTCTTTGATTATAAAATGCTATGCAAATATTTCAGTTCAGTTGATTCAAGCATAGCAAGATGTCTTTGCGTTGGTACATACACTGATGGTAGTCTTCACACTTTTTAAAAGGAAACATTTAAATTTTAGGAAAGCCAACATGAGCCTTCAAGGGGGAATGTTACTAAATGACTTACTGAAACATTTTTTTGTGTAGCTGCTGAGAGAAGAGGCAAGAGTGAGTGTGAAATGGTTTAGCAGTTTGAAGACAGATTACAACACTGTGGGAATGTATGGCCCAGCAGGACGGCTTTCTCTCTCGCCACTGTAAATAGTTATGCATTTCTGTTGGCAAGAACTAAAAGAGGATGAATGACATGAATAGTGGGTGCCTTGGGGAAAATCCAGTCTTCAGTATTGCTTTATTTGTGTGCCTTCTGTGTGGCCATGACTCTTACATAATCATGAAAGGAAGATGTCGTATCTCGCTGTGAGTAAGTAGTAGGTCAGATAATATCAAGGTTCATGTATCACTGAATGAGAAGTTACTATGTCAGGACCATTCATGCTGTTACAGCCAAAATGTGACATCAGTGTTTCAGTTATGAACCCTGTTAAAGCAAAGTTTTAAAATGTTCCATTCATTTGGGACTCATGCATAATGTCATAAATTTGTCCTCTACTTACAGTAATTTTTAGTTTTTCCTAATGTGAAAATAATTTATATCTTTTTATCAAAACACAAGATAAATTATTATGCTTGGGGGAAGGAAGGGAAGAGGAGTGAAAATAATGACACACTGTTAGAATTAAGTCCAAAATGCATTTGGGAAGGGAGGGAGGGAATATTGAAAGGGACTTGGTTTTGCTCAAACCGGTAACTGTGCCTGGGTCATCAACCTTCTGCCGCAGTAGAATTGCAGACAGGTGGGAAATTACGACATTAGAGAGCTCTCCTGCCCTGTGCAGCTCTTCCACTCCTATGTACTTCTATAGAAAACATACACCAGTGAAATAAGCTGGAGAAGGTCTACCATATATGCCGGTCTCAGTATAAACTAGAGCATAAGCAGTGTTGTGCAGGGCCAGAGTGTTCTCCCACACACAGCACTGTCCTCATCATGGGGAGCGTGAAGGTGGCAAAAAGCTGAGACTGCTTCACTGCAGTCATTCCCAAACAGCTGGTTGGTGGTCCTTCAGTCCACAGATGGTTGTCCATAGGTAATCTACAGAAGCATGTAACAGTAAATAGTAAAAACTCTTTTTTTTTCATTTGTTTGTGCTGTCCATACCTGTGAAAGTCTAAAAAGTGTCAGTGACCCTGGGTCTAAAAGTGTTCAGGCATCCCTGATGTGTAGGAAATCCCAAGCTGCTCAGAAAAAATGCAGAAGAGAATTCAGTTATCGGTACTTGGAGGAAAAAGCTGCATTTTTAAAAGTGTTCAGCTGACAGATATAGTCATTATAGTCTCTGTAAGGAATGAGGGTTACATGGAGGCAGTATGTGTGGCAGAATTCATAAATACCCAGCAGCTGTAACAACGTATGAGGTCGATAAGCATATGCCAAACTGCGAAACAGGGGAAATAATACCACTTCTTTTTAAGATGCAAAAATGTTTTTATGAGTTTGAAATGGAAACTTCATAGCTCAGAAAGTGCATTGCTGTGAAAAAAAGGAGAGTTCTGAATACTGTGTGATATCAGTTAGCAGAAAATCTCTACCAAAACCCTAAAGCATGCATACGTAACAAAACTTCTCACTTGCAGCAATAGCAGAGAATTCAGACAGAAATTGTGTATGCCTGACTATACATTTCTGCAACGAATAGAGATGGCATTAGAATTGCAGCCCATGTGTTTCTGTGCATTACTTTAAGGCAGGTACAGAAATCTTATTAATACAGTTTCGTCGTTCTTGCATGATGAGTTAGAGGGAAAAAAAGAAACAGCATTGTAGCACAAAGCATGCTAAGCTGTTAAAAGAAACATGAAAAAACGTATAGGCTTTAGGTGAAATCCTAATGAGATTACTAATTTC